CATCGTTGTTTTCACCGATTGCCAGCGTTAGTAAGCTCAATTTTAATTTTTGGTAAATAGTCACGATTTTGGTTGATTGTTGGGTTTAATTTTAGCTTGGTAGTGATGTGTAAATGCACTGGTGTAATCGATCGACTGACCTGCCCCTTGCCACCGTTTCACGCACCGTCGGGTACGCGTGCAACTCATCCCCCAACTTTGGTTTCTTTTAGAACTGGCCTAGTCGGTCTGGATCGACCCGAACTGGCCAACTTGGTTTGAATCGAGTCTGTTTAACCCGAGCAAAGTCAACCCAACCTGACCCGTTGACTTTGACCCAAAAAGTTAAAATTTTTAAAAAGTCATATTTTATGTTTTTCGACATCCTGAGTTCGAATCTGAAGTTTGTTCCCTTAAATTCAAACCTAGTAAGCTATTTTTCAACATTTTACCTTCTGATTCGATCCATTTTCCACAATTAAGCCCTGTTTCTGATGTAATTTCTGTTTATATGTATCTGGGATATTATTGGACTTTAGATTCAAGTTCGAGAATGATCGAACGGAGTTTAAATGTTTGATCGATGGAGCATAGAAACTGAGGTAATACATTACTACCTTATGCATGCTTTATGGAACATGTTGGTATTGGCAAATGCATGGATGAATATGTTTGGTCTCATCTGTATAGTTAATTATTTCTAAACTCAATATGAATACGGTAAAAAGTCGATAACTGAATATGTCTCAGATGACTCGTATAAGAAATTGGGAGGCCGATAGGAATTAAATTACAAGTTCTTTGATTAAGTGGTAAATCGATCAATCTCAGGATCTGTAAATTCTTATTTATCCCTTTAAAAGTTAAATGACTAAGGTATTTGGATGAGAAATTATGAAAATAATTTTGTTAGATAAAATTTAGAAAATACCCTTATAGGGAAAATTACAAAAATACCCTTATGTTGTAAAAAATAAAGAATTGTCCCTAGAAGTGGAAAAATAACTCCGAAAAGACATATTGATCCGATGAAACTACTGATGTACATGGAAAATGCTAGTTTTACTTAGAAAATCCTGGATAACTGATTTTTATCCTCCAAGATGGTAAAATGTTTAGAATTTTTGGTTTTTGGATAAAACCACGTGATAAATAAATTACTAGAATGATTCATATGTTTAAATCGAAGAAAAAGACTGAATACCCTTGAACAATAAAATAACCAAAGTACCCTTGGAGGGTAAATGACCTAAGAATACCCCCAAGTCATGGAATGACTGAATACCTATTCGTTTGCTCGAGGTTCGTTCGATGATAATTCTGAAAGTGCTCAGCTCATCCCAACTCAACTCTATGGCGCAATTAGTACTAAGAAATGAATATTCATGAAACTACTCTACCTACAAACTCGGTAAGTACAACATTATTGGGATCTGATCAGTTCGATTGGATTTGAAAGCTGGATAAGACACTTGAAATTTGAAATAATGTAAATCACTGTTTGTCTTTATTAAATTGAATTAACAAAATTTCTTAGGAATTTAAATGACTATAATGCACTTAGGTGTATGATTTACAGAATCACCACATGAATATCCGAATCTTAAATAAATTTGATGTAGCAGTTTCTGACACATCCTATGATTATATATGAATATTATGCGATACTAATGTATCACTGTCCTAATGATTGATCAGTCTGTTAGTAATCCAACTTTTTTTTTAAAAAAAAGGATCTCATTCCTCAAGTTCGATCAGTTGAATAAGTTTCATGTTCACTTCGTTTGATAATTACCAAGTACCTTCGGAAAATAATTGGATCTTCTCGTGTGTTCCATATGTGTTATATAATTGTTTTATTTATTTTGAAATGTGTTTTACTAAGATTTCTAAGTTACTAAAGTTTTAAGCTTGCATGTCTGATTCATGATCTCTGGATATCATTTCTACTAAATTGATATGTCTGAACTCTGATTTCCTGCTACCACTGGTTACTATTTGAAAAATGTTTTTCTTCGGGGTACTCTGGGATCTGATATGAAGTCTCTGCAGGTTCAGTTCTGATCAAGCTGGTAATTCCTTATATAGTTTCAGCATCAATCAGTTTGTAATTCTTTATTGCAAGTTCAGCTTCGATCAAACTGGTAATTCCTTATATAGGTTCAGACTATCGAGCTGGTAATTCCTTATGGACCTAAGACGACCCTTGGGTGGGCTCCTGGGCCCAATGGCCTAATGGTAAGACCTTATAGACCCTAAGGCACTCCCTTAGGGTGGCTCCTCTACTATGTGCATTGGGTAAGTCCTTATGGGCTTGAGGTTACACCCCTCAGGTGGGCACCTATACTTCGATTAGGGTAAGACCTTATGGACCCAAGGTGCTCCCTTAGGTTGGTACCTACTCCCAATGGGCCTAGGGTAAGTCCTTATGGATGTAGTTACCAGAACTGCGTATTAGTGTTCGATTGGAGGGTTTTACTATGGTCTTAAAAATATGTTTTAAATTGTTATTGTTCTAAAAAGATACGTACCTTTTCCCTAGTTTTGATTAGAATAAACTAGACATCCTATTCTAATCTCCTGAACTTGGTCCTCTGAATTTTTCCTCTGAATTGAAATCTTCATGTCTTTTACTCAAAGAAATATCAGTGGAACCTCAACTCATCCCGAAAACATGTAGATGTCTGAATCAATAAGGAAATTTTATACTTTTTCATTTATCTGCTTGTCCTTCAGCATCATTCGATAGTTCTCTATTACTGAGCTTTATAGAGCTCACTCTTTTATTCATCGTTTCAGGATAAAAGACACATTTTTAAGTATTCAACCTACCTAATCCAAATGTCGATGATGACTCTAAAATTCAAATTAAACAAGAATCCATTTTTTTCTAAAATAAAGTTATAATTGTTTTAAATTCAATCTTTCGTTTAAAAAAAGTTATGACAAAGATTAAATAGATTTATTGGTTATTAACAAAACCAATTAAATTCCTTAAACAAATAAATTAAATTTTCATCTATGATATCAATGGAGTGTATAGTGTAACAACAAAAATATGTTTTTATTAAGTAAAGAGGTATTATATTTTTAATATAAAATAATAAAATTTAAACTCATAAAAATAAGATAATATGAGTATTCAATTAATGAATCTCACTGCAAAGGTAATTTTGATTATAATGAAATCAGATAAAATTTGGAGTTTGATCCCGTAATGATTAATATGTTGTCTCCTTAATAAACTATTCATTTTAGTAGGGGTGTTCACTTCTCGATTTTAGTTGAATAATTGATCGAATTGAATTGGTTCAGCTAAACAATCGACTACTTAAATTAGTTCATTCGGGAAATAATTTATTTTGTTAATATTCGAATAATGGTTAATTTAGTTTAAAATAAATTATTTAAATGAAAATATTAAATATTTAAAATATTATATATATTAAATATATATTTTAAGCTCAAACAGACGCATTAAGAATTAAAAATTAACTATTTTTTAATTACACTAAACCCATCAAATTATCAAAAACCTAATTAAATTTTGACCTAAATAAAAAAAACTTCTATCAAAATCAAATCGTAAAATTGTGGAGATAGAGGTAAGGGTGTTCAAATCCGGGTACCCGAAGAAGATCCGGGTACTTGAAGTTTCGGGTACCCGGGTCTTCGGGTATTAAATTTTTCGGTCCATGTCCCGACCCGAATGTTGCGGGTTCCCTATACTCAGATACCTGAATTTTACGGTACATATAATTCAGGTAATCGAGTACATGATTTTTAATTTTTTAAATTATTTAATTTTTTTAAAATAAAACTTATATTATTAAAAATATTATATTAAATATTAAACATACAATTATTGGGTGGGTGGGTTTTTTTATTTTGTTAGTTTAATTTAATATATAAAATTATTAATAATTAAATATGTAATATTATAATATATAAAAAAATTATAATTGGGTATTCAAGTAAATGACTACCTAAAAAAATGAAATTTTGTGACCCAAGTCTACCTGAATTAAAAAATTGAGTAATCTTTTAGAAAAGACCCAATTTTTTTTAATTTAACTCAATTCATCGAGTCAACCAGATAATGTATTTTTTGAACACCCTAGATGGAGGTGGCTAAATGCAAATGTTGTGTTTTTTATTTTATTTTATTATTATTGGAGTCAGAAATATAGATGGCAAACGGGTACAGTTTCGTGAATTTCGCACTGCACCCGCTCTAATTGGGGCAGAGATGGGTATAATTTTAGCGGGTAGTGGGCGGGTATGGATTTAGAAAGTGATACCCGTCGCGCATTACCCGCCTCGCATCCGCCTTGCATCCGCCCGCCTAGCTAAATATCCACCCGCCCACCCACTTTTTATTATATATGTAGGTAGTTGTGAATTTAAATTGGAACACTCTCAATTGAAGGAAATAAAAAATGATGATTGTAATATTGGAGTATCAGATCTCACAAATATTGCCTGAAATTTTAGAATATTGTGCCAAAGAACAAAAACATTATGTGTTTGTCATTTATGTTTCTAAACTTTAATTATGTCTTTTATTATGGTGTTTTATGTACTTTAAGATCTATATTAATACTTAACTCAGATAATCATTGGATTATTTTATTATATTTCTTAATGGACATGTTTTTTTATGTTTGTTGCTTATATATAACTTAAGTTTACTTTCAGGCGAGTCTAGACGAGTACGTCACTAGTGGGTAGTGGGTGTAGGGATAGATTTGAGAATGTACCTACGTGAACGGGTGTAGATTTAAAAATTTGCACCCATCACGAATGATGAACGAGTGATAGATTAAAAAATATTAAATGAAAATAAAGATGAAAAGAGAATATCTACACTCGACCCGCCCGTTTATCATCCTAGTCAGAAAGTGAGACAGTTGATTCAATTGGATCCCCGTGTTTGGCTGATAACACAAACAAAAGCCTCACGTTTTTCTATTACTTACTTAAATATCCCCAAACTCTCTCTCTCTTCCCTAACCACATGGCCATTTCTCGATCTCATCGTACAACTCCCACCCTCTGATTCCCCACCCCCCCCAAAAAAACCCCAGGTCGAAACCCTAACTCGGGCGATTCGACTCGGTTATCCCCACCCCAATCGTCTTCATCCTCTGGCAATGCGACCCTGGTTCTCGGCCATACCCCTCTCGAGAGAGGACTCCTTTTTGTTGTTCGGCTTTAACCTTCTCTTTTCAGATTTGTTTAACGAGTTCGAGAAATGACCAAAGATTCACAGGCCCCTAATTCCAGGGGTGTCCTTTGCAATGCTGGTGCTGGCGCCGCCGCCGGTATCTCAAATTTTCCCTTCATTTCCCCCCTAAGCCGTTGTCTCAATAGCTGAATTTTTAAGTTTTTGTGTTTTTTCTCACGCACAGGTGTTATTGCTGCAACATTCGTGTGTCCTTTAGATGTTATAAAGACGAGATTGCAAGTTCATGGGCTGCCGAAGCTCGGTAACGCTACCGTTAGACGTATGTAATTCTGATTTAACTTTAATTTGAATTGAAAAAATAGAAAAGAAATGGATACAAATGTTGGTTTTTTTCCCTAACTTTTTTCTTTAATTATTTGATCAGGTAGTCTTATAGTTGGTAGCTTGGAACAGATCTTTCAGAAGGAAGGCTTACGCGGCATGTACCGTGGGCTTGCTCCAACTGTACTCGCTTTACTTCCTAATTGGGCTGTAAGTTGTTTATTTCCCTGTTTCTTTTTGTGGCTGTTCCAACCCTGTTTATCAAGTCTTAAAGAGTTCTTAAATGCTATTATGAAATGAAAAGGCCTGCATTTATTATCTCAATAGTTTGTAATGGATGAAGTGGATTACTTGCCATTTTTATTGATCCTGATGTCTGTGTCTTGGTAGCTAGAACTTGAGTGTGCGAAAAGATATGGGTTTTGGGGCTTTGTTGAATGATTGGCTTTTTATTTAATTGAAGAAACCATCCTTTTGCAAATTTGAGTTATTACATTATGAAAAATTCTTCGTGCTGATTCTGAGGATAAGCTTTCTTCACTTCTGTGCTGTTTCCTGTACTAACTATTTAACCTCATTTAAAAATTGGGTAAAGTTGCATACTGCGTGTACACACTGAAACAAATTACACCTTTCGAACACATTATCATCAGTGCTTTTTGTTATCTTTTGTAACTCTAGATAGCAGAAATTTAAGTTGCCTGTTTGAATACTTTCAAGTAAATTATCTAAATGAGCAATGGTATTGTTATAGCAGTTGTTTTGTTTGATTCAATAATTACCCTAAATCGAATCTGGAGAAGCAAAATTTTATGCTATTGAAGAGTTAGGTATCCAACCACGAGGTTGACTTGCAAATTTAAAAATATGGATTCTTTCTCCATGCATGATTCACCAGGAAATGTGATAATTATTTTAGATGTGTTTGTACTTTCTATTCTGATCCCAACCATGCGTAACGCTGTTATGGAGAAGTTTAGCTTCGACTTTGAGGATTTTATATTCAAATAGGGACCCTAGCCTCCTCTGTAGATTCCATGGATGCTTCTGTCATTCTGTATTACAATATTCCCCTTAATGCAAGTGTGAAACACATGCCTCAGTTAGTATATCAGTTGTGTTGTTTGATTCAGTAGTAGTTCTACATTGAATATGGAGAAGCAAACTTTATTACTAATGAAGAATTAGGTATCCTATCAGAAGGTTGAGTTAAATAAAAAAATTATGGATTCCTTCTCCATTCATAGTTTTGAATTTTGATTCACCAGGCAATATTATTGCATATGTGTTAGTAATTGCTGTTCCAATCCCAAGTTCCCAACTATGCAGAAGACTTTTCTGGAGAAGTTCAGATTTGGTTTTTTAGGGTTTATGTAATTCAAACAGGAAGCTTAACTACCTGTTTAAATTTTCATGGATGCTTTTTTTATTATGTATTAAAGTATTCCTTTTGATGCAAGTGTGAAACAAGTGTCTTGATTATTGAGTTTCGGTTTTTTTCTCGTTCTCTTATTCACACTTTTTGGTGCTTGCTTGAATTGATGTTGCAGGTATATTTTACAGTGTATGAGCAGCTCAAAAACTATCTTTGTTCTAATGGTCAGTTCAAAGTGCATAGGATTTGTAATTTCACTCTTAATTTTAGACCTTTGTTCCTTTTAGATTTTCTTTTATATACTACCTTCCTGAATATTTTCTTTATAGCTTCTGGCATATTTCTCCTTTTCTGTGAATGTGTAGATGAGAAGCAACATCTCTCGGTAGGTGCTAACATGCTAGCTGCTTCTGGTGCTGGAGCTGCTACAACCTGTTTTACAAATCCTCTTTGGGTTGTGAAGACTAGACTTCAAGTGCGTTTCTCAAGTTTATATTTTTCTAATGTAATGACATATGGTGAAAGATATTGAAATTCTAGATAGCATGGCATGCTTTATACTGCAATAGGGACTTATATTAAATTTCAAAGTTATTGCCTGTTATTTTGTTCTAACTATATTTTGTTACAGGATATAGAAAATTTCATCTGTATTGTCGCTTTGGTTATTTCTGATAAGGCTCACCAATCCTAAAACATGTAAAGGAATTGGGGAGCCCATTCCAGAATCAAGTAATAACTTATTAGGAGCAGAAATAAAATGCGGAAGGAAAAAAATAGAAGAAAGAAGAAGATCATAGAGAGTTAATAGTTTAGTCACACACACAAGTAACAAGCTGCATCCAGTGTGTGGATGACTGCTTATTGTTAGGTTGTTTGGTTTGCTTTTATGGGTGATATATTTTGTTAGATTGTATCGTGGTGATATATTTTGTATCTATAATCTAGGTGTACCATGCATGCGGTTTGAGGTTTTTTATTTGTAACTGTAATCTGATGCTGCATTTTGTTTTTATTTGTAAATATAAATAGATTTAGAGCTGTTGTGCATTGACATCTGCCAGTTTGTTTTTATAGACGCAAGGTATCAGAGCAGGAGTGGTTCCCTATAGGAGTACGCTTTCTGCTTTGAGGAGAATAGCTCATGAGGAGGGTGTTCGGGGTCTGTACAGGTATTGTAGCGCCATTCATTAGAAATTGATAAATTCTTCTGTTTTTCAAACCAAGTTTTTTTTACTGGAACTGGATGTCATTTTTTGCCTGATGAACAGTGGACTCGTCCCTGCATTAGCTGGTATTAGTCATGTTGCCATTCAGTTTCCAACATACGAGAAGATCAAATTCTATTTAGCTAATCAAGGTTAATAATAAAAAAATTTAATAACCTATAGATTTTTACTGTTAATTACTCATTGAAGATATTTTAACTTAATGGGGTCTTGGCAGATAACACTCCAGTGGATAAACTCGGTGCACGGGACGTTGCTGTTGCATCATCAGTTTCCAAAATATTTGCATCCACATTGACTTATCCACATGAGGTATGATGGATAATTGTTTACAACTAATTTCTTATGAATAAGGTTGCATTGCACTTGACATGTAAAAGATGGGGGATCTGCTAGTGTCATTTTGTTCCTCCAACTGTTTTCATTTTGTCCAGAGCCGTAAACAATGTTTGAGAGCTGCATTTTAAAAGTGCTTATCATTAGTGTTATTTAGTTATTTATTCTTGGATGATATAGGTGGTACGTTCAAGGCTTCAGGAACAGGGGCATCACTCGGAGAAACGCTATTCCGGTATGGCAGATTGTATCCGAAAACTGTTTCAGCAAGAAGGGCTTGCTGGATTCTACCGCGGGTGCGCAACGAATCTTATCAGGACCACACCTGCAGCTGTGATCACCTTCACCAGTTTTGAGATGATTCATCGATTTCTTATCAATCTTTTCCCTTCTGATCCGGAGCCTCACACGTTATGAGGTGCGTTATGCTCAACCAAAGATATAGCCCGTCTCCCGGCATGTGTCCCGGCATATGACCGGGAAGCATTGCATCATCTTGGTAGTGATGCATTGCCAGTGTATTTTTCTGGTAGAGTTTTAGCAATATTCATTCTTTCATCTCATCTATGTCCGGTGAGATCAAAGGTTCTGAGGAAGGTGTGGACGAGTTATACTGACGATGATAATGTCGAAAATGATATATGTGAGCTTAAATTAATACATTCATTTAAAAAAACAACAACATAGGTTGCCAAGTACAATTATTTATCTTTATTTGCCATGCCCTACTTGCCTTGCTGGTTATTCTCTTTTCTTTACCATTCCATAGCTAACTTCCAATTACTTGTTTTGGCTTGATTTGAGGTTAACTTATATTTATTTTATCGAGTTAATTTTTTCATGTCCTAAAATTATAATTCTCATTTTAAATTGTTTTTAAATTTCTGAATATTCTAATTTCATCCCCAAATTATTATTCTCATTTGAAATTAGTCTTTAAACTTTTAAACATTCTAATTTTATTCCTAAACTATGACCCGCTTTTTAAAATGGTATCCAAACTTTTGAAACCTCCAATTTCATCCATATATGTTAGTTTCAAACGTTGTTTAACCTAAAAATTTCTTCTTTTTATTTTCCAAAAATGTATTGACATAACTTGGTCTAATGATTTTATTAACAAGGGATGTAATTAGTGTATACATATAGTTTGGGATAAATTTGGAATGTTCAACAAGTTTGGAGGCTAATTTTGAATGAAGGTTATACGTTGGAGATGAAGTTGAAATATTCAAAAGTTCGATTAATTTAGGATTTTAACATAATAGTCATAGTTTAGGGATGAAATTGAAATATTTAAAAGTTTACGGACTAATTTAAAATGAAATTCATACTTTGAGGACATGTGATACAATTAACTTTATTTTATAATTAGGATTTCAACGTAATGGTATCGTTTGAATGACTTAAATTCAAATGAAAATTGAGAATGACTTGAAACAGGTACAAGAAATGATTAAAAAAATATTATTCTGTTTAAATGATCCGAATTTAAATATTTTTATCTACACGTCTGTGAGTTTAATCAGATTTAAGTACAACACAATTTGTCCAGCCCAATTCCAAGTAGAACACAACACAAGCAAAATGGAAAATGGAAAATCTTGGCATTAAATTCCAACTACAAACAATTGTTTTTGGTTTTAATATAGACAATATCTGACCACTTTGTGTTATCCTTGATGATAAATGTGTATAATCACTCGGAAAAAATAGTAGGATCTAAATTATTTTTGAATTAATCATTGGTATTCGATCTATTGATCGACTAATCCAGATCGAGTACTGTAGAGGCAAGAACGACTTTCCCAACCCAGTTTGCTCCATTCACAGGATCTATATTATTTTATTGATGTTGGTTTATATACTTATCCATAATTTCCAGCAAAAGTAGTTAGATTGGAATGGTTGAAATGCTCTTAAAATATAACCCCACACCCTACAATTTTAGAACTATGATATGATCAATCCCCTCGTACATCATCTCAATGCCACATAAGTGTAGTAAAATAAAGCAGAAAGTGGGCATAATTTGGACAACTCATTAGCCTAACACAAGCAATCCCAAAAACTTCATCTTCTCATAGCAAAAAAGATTTAAGACAACCACATGCATGCATGCATGAATATTCTTTCCTTTATTTCATTAACACAACTCATAACACCCAAAAAAAATCAAGACAAATCACTTTATGCCATTTACACAGTTCATAACATCACTTTTAACACATGCGGTTCCAGTTCAAAAAAACTCAAAAGAACATACCCCAATCCCTACATCTGATAGATGCCAGGGCATTGAGCTCACTTTCTTCTTCTACAATGCTCTCTATATATTTTTTCCCCTTTCTATTCATTTCCTTCATTATTGGGGGCCTTATGTAGAGAGGGATTATCACTTCCTTTTTAACATTTGTGCTGCGGATTATATCAGCAGAAAAATATGTAGCACCAAGCACCACTATCCATGGTATTAGTTAAGTATAATCCTAAAATTTACCTCTAATGTTGAATAAAATAGTCACTTTAATTCTTATATTTTTAAAAATATTTTGATCCTAACGTTTTATTGTAGGACAAAATTCTCTTTAATTTGATAAAAACTAATAGTTAATACATGTCGTTAACGTAATAAATCTTATGTATCCAAAATACTTACAGGAGACTTCCCAACGTCAGAAGTGATAACTTTAGACACATCACGTCATCACTTAAGGCAAGTAGTATGTGTCATGTCATCACTATAGACACGTGACATGTGTTGCATAGTAACTCTAGATACGTGACATGTTTCATCCCTCTATTTTGCACACGTGACATGTGTTATATCATCACTTTGAACAAATAACATATGCAATATCATCACTTTGGATACGTGACACATGTCATATCATCACTTATATATATATATATATATATGATATGTAGTGGCATATTTAAAATACTTTTTTAAAAGAGAAAATAACCTCAATGACCAAAAATCCCAGATAATATATGATTTTGACTAATTTTTTTGGATTTGCGAAAATGACCAACAAAATTGCAATGCGATCTCCACTATCGCAAATTCGCGTTGCATTTCGCGTTGCGATCATTGAAAATCGCGTTGCGATTTTCCAGTTCGCGTTGCGGTAGTCTATAGTTGTTGTTGCGATAGTTTAAAAAAAAGATTTTGTTTCTTAAGAATTCTCTAAAAAGATAGTATCCGCGCGGACGTGTCGAAGACACGTATTACCACGACCACGACCACGACCACGACCACGAGACGAGACGAGACGGCGGCGGCGGCGCACGAGAGTCCCCCGCGGACGTGTCGAAGACACGTATTACCACGACCACGACCACGACCACGAGACGAGACGAGACGAGACGAGACGGACGGCGGCGGCGGCGCGCGAGAGTCCCCCTTGTTCTCTATCACTCAACAAGGAAGTGAGAAAGCCAAGCCTTAAATACCATTCTCAATAGTGTTTCCAATACTATGTGGGATTGAGCATTACCAACACTTGTTTCCAATACAATGTGATTATTCATGAAACAATTAACAATCATGCACCTTAAAACAACTGAATCAGCAACCAATTGCATTAGTATTATACGATTAAATATGTCATAATTAAAAGTCAATCTACAATCAATTGCATTAGTATTTAAGGCTTGGCTTTCCCACTTCCTTGTTGAGTGATAGAGAACAAGGGGGACTCTCGCGCGCCGCCGCCGTCCGTCTCGGGTCGGGTCGGGTCGTGGTCGTGGTCGTGGTCGTGGTCGTGGTCGTGGTAATACGTGTCTTTCACACGTCCGCGCGGATACTATCTTTTTAGAGAAAATTCTTAAGAAACAAAATCTTTTTTTTAACAATCACAACACGAGATGCAACGCGAATTTGCGATAGTGGAGATCGCAATGCGAATTAAAGATCGCATTGTGATTTTGTTGGTCATTTTCGCAAATCCAAAAAAAGTTGGTCAAAATCGTATATTATCTGGGATTTTTGGTCACTGAGGTTATTTTCTCTTTTTAAAATTGACACATATATGTTAGTAACACAAAATTTTTGAATGAGGCGGACATAAATAATATATCAGGGTAGGCACCATCAGTAAAATAAGTAACTAATCGAACAAAATTCGGACTTCAGTGCCCACCATTGAGAACATTTAGATCTGCCACTGATGACATATATCATATCATCACTTTAGACATGTAACATGTGTCATGTTGTCTCTCATGTACACATGACAATTCATATATTAACGACAAGTGTTAACAGTTAGTCAATTCATCCAACTTATGATTATTTTAATCTAAAAATGAAACATTGGAGACAAAAATACCGAAATAAAAGAAAGAATAAAAGTTAAATAACCGTTAAATTAAAAACCTTTAGACATTATGCCTATTAATTAATGACATCACCATGGATGTAAGGGGAAGGGGATGTGAGGACAAAACAACTACACTTTAACCTATCATCATAGCCGTTTCCATCAAAAGTATTTAGGACATTAAAATGCACATATAATAAGAGGAGTGCAACACTTTCATGATTTTTTTTCCAGACTATTGTCTTCCCCCACCCGAATAAAAATAAATTGTTTCTCGATTGATTAAGGTTATTAATCCCAACATGTTTTGTAACAACAACAAGAAGCACTTGTTTTAGACATTGTTTTACGACAAACTTATGCCTTTGTCTTAAAACTAAAGCCTTACCTTGCAATGGAGATGTTTTTTTAACAGTGTGGCTAGAAATTAGGGTTTTGCCTTTTGCTTTCCAGATGGGATTTCGGATCCAAATGAAAAGAGTCTTTACTTAATTATCAATTACCACCCAACCACAATCATTATCTCGATGATCATCATGGCCATGACTACTTTAACTTTTCCAACATGACATGGGGACTAATTTACCCTTTACTATGTGCACTATGGGTTTCTAAATTATGGGCCAAATTTTAAAATCTATTTCTAAATTTCAAAACGTTTCGATTGGATCCTCGAAATAATGTTCCATTTGAATTATATCGTTTTTTCTATCTAGTCCAAGTGTTACTCTAGTCTTAATCTCACAATATGTGGGTCATGTCATGTATGGATATATTCTGGTTTTTTGTCTGATTGTACTTCATAATAGTTAATTGTTGTAATTGTTATACATATGCATGTTACGAATAAATGGAGAAGATAATAAAAAATAAATAAACAAGATAGTAAAATAAGAACACACAAAATTACGTAAAAAATATAAATGAGAAATATCACCGAGAGAAATTTCACTATGTGGACGATAAATAGAAGAGAAGTTTGTAAAGTACATCAAACCCTAAAATCCTAGTTATACAAAAACACCAAAACCCTAGATTAACTAAATTGTGCCATCATATCCCATTTTTTCTCCTGATTTATTTGTACATCACATGGACCTCATTGTAACTTAAATCGAACAAAAGAACCTGATGGTACTCGCATTTAAGAATTTAATTGGAACTTTCTGAAGTTTATTTACCAATTTAAAATTCAACCATAGTTCGACAACAGTTCACACAATAAACCCATAAATATACAAGTACATCAATATATTCTCGTCCAATGGTAGAGATACCCTAAAATTTACTCTTGAAAAAGTTGAGTGTGTTATGATTAGAGCTGCATAAGAGGCTTTTTCACAGCTTTTTGGACATGGATGAAGAGACGACCCCGAAAGAAATAATT